CCTATTTTCATTTCAATGCAAAATAAGTCTATAACGCATAGGTAGCTGTGAAAAATAAAAGCCATGACAATTTTTTATTAATCACAGCTGTCAGAACACGTTTAAAATAGTTTTGGGTAATTAAGGTTTTCAAAATGGGTAGAGGAAAGGTTATTAGTGAGAAAATTCGGTTACTGATAATTAAATATTTTAATTATGGGAAATCAAACTCAGAAATTGCAACTTTGTTAGACTTATCGCGGTACAGTGTGAGAAATATTGTTAGAAGATATAACGTAACTGGTTCAGTTAATATTAAGCCACGATATGTGAAAAAAAGTAATATCACAAATGCCGATCGAAGAGCATTAAGAAGAATAATCGTGAAAAACAGGCGTGCCAATTATTTACAATTAAGTGCTCTGTTGATTGACGCTGTTGGAAGGAGAATTTCGAGGTCCACAACTCATAGAGAGGCCAACAAACTGGGATTTAGCACTTGCAAGGTAAGTTTTCTTATAAAAAAAGCGAAGTAAAAACCCGAAAGTTGCACAACTTGTTTATAGGCCAAAGAAAAGCCACTATTAACTCCACTGCAAAAGAAAAATCGGCTTAGATGGGCTAAAGAACATAGGCAATGGACACCTAAACAATAGTGTGCAATACAAGGGAATGATGAGGCCCGATTCGAAGTTTGTGTTGGCGACAGTCGCAGTAGAGTTATTCGCAAAAAAGATGAAGCATTCCATGTTGGCTGTCTGAAGAGAAAAGTGAAATTTCCAGCATCCATTATGGTCTGGGGCAGTAGGTCATCAAAAGGAGTAGGAAAACTTCATTTTGTTGATGGAAATGTGGATACAAACAAATATTTGGCAATTTTAGAAGAATCGCTTTTACCAGTGATGGAAGAATGTTTGACATCCGGCCAAGATTTTGTGTTTCAGCAAGATGGTGCAGCGTGCCATACCTCAAAAAAGGCTATAAAATGGATGGCAGAAAATAATGTACCACTTTTGGAATGGGCTTCTAGCAGTCCAGATCTGTGACCTATTGAAACTTTGTGGCACGTGATGAAAAAGGTTCTAGGACAACATCCTGCTCGTACAATCACCGAACTGAGACAAAAGCTTCAAGAAATATGGGCTTGTTTTACACAAAATTTTTGCTAAAACTTGGTTAGCACTATGCCCCAAAGAATTTCAGCCGTAATAAAAAATAAAGGTGATGTTGCCCAATGGTAATCTTTTTTTTAATTGTTGCTTTGTTAACTTCGCGCTTTTATTCGCACATTGTTTATTTGTTCAGATGCTCTATTAGTTATAGGTCTAAGTGATTTCAAATATTTATTTTTTACGACTAGAGCGTATCTAAAATGTTTCTGGGAAAATAAATTGTTTTAGAAGTAAATACTTTCGTCATGTTTAGTTTATAAACGCATATTTTGGTACAAATCTTGAAGTCTGCCAACTGAAGTGGGAAGGGGCTCGTTTATAACACCTAATTTATCAGCTCCTACATATGATCTTCTATTTGAGATGATACTTCTGTTAGATTTTATTAATGCTGATAATCTCAGTATCTTAGGTGATTTCAATGTGCCTTCATACATTAACTACATGAATCATAATACTTACAGTAATAACTATATAGCAGCACTCAATAATTTGATTAACTTCATCAGTCTTAAGCAATACAACCATACACTAAACTGAAATGGCGGTATTCCTGATTTAGTCTTTTGTAAAAATGATCAAGTGATTCCTGCTTCAGACGTTTTACTACCAGTTGTTAGTCATCACCCTCCGCCTGAACTATCATTTATGTCAGGGAATGTTTTGGGTAGGTTTAACTTAAATGAAATTCCAAATAATTACATTGCCGAGAAGCAATTCATATCCACCCTGGTTTAGTTCATCTATAATTGCTAGGATAAAAGAGAAACGACGTTTATGGAAAAGGTGTAGGCGAACACAAGATCCACAAGAATGTGAAACCTCTAGATGTTTGCGAGGAAGTATAAAAATTAGCATTGATATGGCATACCAATCATATACTGGTAAAATGGAAAGGAACATAACTGCTAATCCTCAACAATTTTGGTCATTTATAGAGTCTCGGAAAAATTCTACAAGTATTCCTAACGATATGATGTACAATGACAGCCAACTTGATATTGTCAATGCTTTCGCACATTTTTTTCAATCAAGTTATATTACCTCTACAAGCTCTCAACCTGTAGTGTCAGCTAACAATACTTCTTTACCATTGAATTTGCCAGTAATTACGCACAAACAAGTTATTGCCACTCCAGATGGAATACCTGCATTTTTGTTAAAGGACTGCGCTGCCATTATAGATGAACCTTTGGTTCATCTTTTCAATATGTCTCTTAAAACTTCTACGTTCCCTATGGTATGGAAGACATCTAGGATTACTCCAATTTAGATAGACTGTTCGGATAGTGTAAACATGAAAAATAAATAATTCAATAATATTCACGTATCAATATCATATCCCCAAGTTTCAGCTTCCTAACTTTACCATTTCAAACAATAAGCATAGAGGGGGATATAGTATACATGGCAGAATATTTAAACAGCCTATTACTCCAGATTTTTTTTATATCGAAGCTGCCGCGCAGGCAGAAGCCTAAATGCCGGAACACCGCGGCTACTATGATGATCCCAAAGAAATTCTATTAATACGATTTTTGAACTGCCTAAGGTTAATAGAACTGGGAAAAGCTTCCCCTTGTAGATTGTTCCACAATCTTGACACCCTCGGGACAAAGGAGCGGTCGTATCCGCCGGTTCTGGATGTACGAAGTTCGACACGGTTAGGATGGGATGCCAAAGTCGGGCGGGTCTGTCTGGCAGGCATATCCCGCGGCGGCATCATGGAAGAGAGCTCTGAGGAGCATGTACGAATATTAGTATCAAAATATTAACAAAGCCGCTGCGTCATCTAAAATGTTAATAAATTCCTCTTCGTAAAATTGATTTAGCACTGCCCCATATGTCTCCAATAACAGCTACAATAGATATAGAAATGAGGATCTCATAGACTCGCGATAAAGGAAAACTTGAGCTCTTTTAAGAACTTTAATGGTTTGGATTGATATTTTGTTGTCCTTTTCTAGCGGAGCTTTCTAATTTTCCAGATTAATGGACCTGGTACAGTCGGCCAGCAAAACTATTGTATTATTTTTGTTTTTTGGCAATGCTATGGACTTGCCAACTTATATCATACAAATGATTCTCGTGAGTATAAATTAAAAAAAAATTAATAACACCAGTTATAGGAACTTATACTGATTTCATCTGTTGAGTGTGCTGATGATTCCTAATGAGGGTACGTTTAACTTTTCATATCATACGAGGGATGTCTTTTAAGTTTTACATATAGAAACATAGTAGGCCGCGCGGATCGAACGTCAGTACTGAACCTGAACCTCACTCTTTAGTAAACTTAAATTCAAAGTTTCACAACAATACGTGCAGTGTTCTCACTACAGTGAATTTTTAAGTGTCACCAAGTCATTAGAAACATGGAACTCAACCAATAAAATTTTCGCGCCATAATGTATTACAACTTTCAGAGACAATTATCGCAACAAGAATGCCTTGCTGAGTTACTGTCTATTTTCGGCAACGAAGTGCCACATCAGTCGACAATTTCCCATTGGTATGGAGAATTCAAACGTGGACGGGTGAGTTTTAGTGACGATCCCAGGGTGGGTGCACCAAAAACGGCAGTCTCACAGGAAAACGCCGATGCTGTGCGCAAACTCATCATTGAAGATAGACATGTGACATATCGCGAGATTGAGGCGTCCTTGAAGATCTCGAAGACCTCAATTCAAAAAATTTTACATGAAGGATTAGGAGTAAATTAGTTTCTTGTTGAATACCCGACCTGTTGACTGAAGAGCAGAAAGCAGCCAGGATTAATTGGTGTCAAAAACCGCTTGACCGTTTCAATTCCGCAAACTCAAAAAATGTGTACATCATTGTTAGTGGTGATGAATCGTGGATTTACTGTTATGAACCAGAAAATAAACGACAGTCGGCTGTTCCAAGTTCCAAGTTCCAAGGTGAAGAAAAGCCAACAAAAGTCATCCATTCTCGAAGTGTTTCGAAAAAGATGGTCGCGACATTTGTGTCAAAAGCGGGTCATATTGCAACAATTCCTCTTAATGAGCAAAGAATTGTTACTGCGGATTGGTATACCACCGTTTGTTTGCCAAAAGTCATCACCGATCTTCGAAAAATCAACACCGAAAGAAGAATCATCCTCCACCAAGACAATGCAAGCTCGCACACAGCCCAAAAAACAAGGCAGTATTTAACGGAAGAAAACGTGGAATTATTGGACCATCCTCCATATAGTCCCGATCTAAGTCCTAGCGATTTCTTTACTTTCCCGAAAATTAAAAACAGACTGCGTGGTCAAAGGTTCCAGTCACCAGGAGAAGCAGTCGACGCATTCAAAAATGCCGTTTTGGATCTGCCAGCAAACGAGTGGAATGAGTGCTTCGAAAATTGGTTCGAGCACATGTAGATGTGTATTAATCTTCGTGGAGAATACTTCGAAAAACAATAAAGTCATTTAAAGCTACCTACCGTGTTGTTTTATTTCCATATGCAAAACTTATAAGACATCCCTCGTACATGTTTTCGTTTTTCTGATTATGTTGATCAAACTATATGTACGTGAATATGAAAGTCTATTACGAATATTGTCCAAGGCGTTAAGTGGGCATTTATGACCCGCGGCATGAGGTTACCACGCCGATTGACATAAATGCTTATAACGTCCGAGACTCAGTGATCTATGACTATATGGAAAATAAAAAATGAATTTGAGTGTCTAAGTGGACATATAAGTCAATAAATTGACAGTACTATAAATGAATAGGGACATATCTCGTGGTCGATGAGAATAGGTCAATTTCAGGATAATGGTCCCTAAAGTTTGAAGTTACACTTTACCATCTAGTCGTAGATAAACTTTATTTTTTTATGTTACAACAGCTTTATGATCCTGAAAATGGATTTCAGGGCGACAAAATAATATTTCTGCGGAATTTCGGCGCTCTTGTTTTGGCACTGGCACAACTTTATGTGTTTTTCTGGTTCGCCAACGAAGTCATCCTGGAGGTATCCCAACATTCTTATATCACTGTCACTTTTTTAATCAAACACATCAGTATATCAATACTTCAATGCAGAACTAGCCCAAGTTAACCGATGACTATTTCACGATAGATTGAGAAGAAAAAATGTCGAAAATAGGACTGTTATATAACAGTAGATAATAATAATAGTAAACGTATTTATTAACAAAATTACAAAATTACAGCAGACTGATTGGCGACACTTAGCATTTCCTACTCTCACGCTTAACCAATCATTCCGCAACATGCGTTCAGTGGTACGTTAGAAATACAAAAATTTATAAAATACAAACATCTCAAACCAATGGTTAAAAAAGATATAAAGCTGCAATGATAATTATTAAATTAGATATGTAACAGTCATGATCCAATGGTTGATGATATTATCAGAAGTTTAACTTTTTCACAGAACATTCGAAGCGAATATTTTTTATATGCCTCAGAAATTTCATTACACCTTAAGGCAACATTATATGTAAGTCTACGTTGTTTGTTATTTTTGTTTCTTAGACATGTCATGTATTGTGAAACGTGGAAAAATGTACGCAATCAGAATATACACACAATGATTTTGAATCATCTAACCAATATTTTTAATAAATAATCTAATGATGGAAAATTAACAATGTTACAGTAATTCAAGATAGATATAATTAAAGTCCCATACAGTTTTGTGTGTCATTTAAAATTTAGTAAGTAAGGATGAGCTGTGAAAGTACGTAATCGGGGATAAGTTTTCAGACATATACTCTTTACAACTTCAATAAACCTCAATTTTGTATCAAAAATTCTACCAAAAATTTTAGCGGAATTCGTTTTCGTAGTAGCAACAAGTAAGGCTACTCTAAGCAATATAATCTCGTCCTGGGTTAGAACTCAGCAGAGTTTTTTTCTGGAAATAGCGGACATAGGGTAGTTATGATGTAACCTTCTGATACCAATAATACTGAAAAAAGAACATAAGATACTAGGAAGGCTTTGTTCTATAAATTTCAAACTTACAATACTATTAGGACTATATCGTCAGTCTTTCCTACAACACTGTTGGACGACTTTAAGGCCTCCTTGATTGTCATACCTTTTTCTCTTTTTCAGATGTCTACTGTTTCTTGTCAGCTTCAGCGCTCTCCTAGAAATTTGAGGGTTATAAAACATGATAAAAATTTAGTTTCATCAGACTGAAATTTATAGAATTCAAAAAGAATTGTAGGACGCCTTTATGCTTTCCTTGATTTTTATAGATTTTCCTGTCCTGTCCTTTCTATGTTAGATTTCTACTTGTTCGTGTCAGTACTCTATTTTGAGGTTATATTGCCTTTTTGAATTGAATTAAACAGTCAAAAAGGAAACATAACCTCACAATAGGAGAGCACTGACACTAACACGGAACAGTAAAAATCTAGAAATACCCCAGCCTCTCTGAATGAGAGAAAGGCCTATGAAAATCAAGGACGCAATAAAGGCGTCTGACAATTGTTACGGCAGCTTACATACGATTAAAAATATCTCCAAACTGAAAAAATGTCTATTGCTCAAGCAAAAATATTTCCTTTGGTAGAATCTCATACTGTCACTTTTTGACTATGGCGATATAGTTTATGGGAGCTCGTTGGCGTATACTACTAAAAATACTATACAAAAAGTGCGATTTTTCTTTGACATACCTTATCGTAACCACATAACGCCTTACCTAAACAATGTGTCTATACTGAATATGCTAAATTGCAGGAAACATCATTTATTCCATTTCATCTATAGAATAATAAAATCAGGAAAACCCCCGTATTTGAAAAATAAACTTTCAACTTTTAATAATAATTACGGAACAAGACATAACCAGAATATTTTTATTATTCCTCGACATAGGTCTGCAAAATTTCAACGTTTTTTTTTTCATTTCTTGCAGTTCAAATGTGGAACAGTCTAAATAATAATGTAAAGGTAATGTCACAAAGTATATAATGGCTATGCTTCTTTAGGAACAATAACACAAGGATGAATGTGATTGTGCACGGATTCTTATTGTAAAGTTTACTTTTTCAAATTTATCTTTTTCAAATTTATTTCACTATTTCGGTGTGGTTAACTGCACGAGGGCTCGTCGGTGTGGCTTCGCGTCTGTTGCTTTCTGCCCCTCTCCGGTGCTCCCCTCCCGTCGGAACGTTGACATTTTAAGTGTCTAAATACATATTTTCTTTCTGTGATATCAATGGTTCATGCTTATAATAAATTAAATCATTCAATTCCTAAATATTGTTTATATATTACAGATTTTGTAAATTAGTGCATTTTTACACCTAACCTACTTACGTGAGGCTGTGTGTTAACGGTCATTTGTGATCGAGAGTCTGTCCTTTTTGTCAAAAATATTATTATTTGAGTGTATTTTGTATAATACGGTGGACTGTTTTTTTTTTGGCAAATAAAATGTATTTCAATTTGAATTTGAATTGTAGGAACGACTGACGATACGTTCTTTTTGTCTTTTCCATGATTTCCGTTCGAGGAGTTCAAGTTTTGAACTGATTTAGTTGAAATATCTTCTGTTTTAATCATGTTAATCGAACAAACCTCTCCGATAAAATTGCGTTTTTGGAAATATGCTACTTCTGCATGAATGTCTCGATATACAGCATCACTACTGCTACATTTCAGTTATTTTGATAATAATTACACGACTAGGACTAAACATTCTGTAACTCCATCGAAACTCTTTGAGAGAATTCAGAAAGGAACAGCGTTGTGGTGCGTTAAGTCAACGATATTCCCAACCAAGCGCCATAACATTAACATTGACACTACAACGCTGTCGCTCCCTGAATGCGCTACTCATTACGTTATATCATTGATTAACGTATTATCCAAGAAGATTCCTAACCCTATGCTGTACTTGGACGTCCCTGCACAATTCTCATCGCAACCATATTGCCAAGTATACTAAGTGATAGGAAAAAGAACACCTAGTAATGATGAATTTATTACAACAATTTTTTGTGTACATGTCTACATGTTAAGATTTGCTAAGTGATTGATGAATTCATTATTGCCGAGTGTTCTTTGTTATACAGCAGACGCTCGATAACGTAAACACGGGATAATGAAAACTTGCGCTAATGTAAACACAAACTTCGTTCTATGGGATCAAACGGAACGCGCGATAACGTAAACAATGTGTACGCTCGATAACGTAAACAACTCTCGGCGCACGGAAACAGCGCGACGGTAAAATGCTGAAGCCTCGATGATTTATGTCGGGCGTCGGGGAGTCACCGATTTATGATGTAGAGTGTAGGGGATTCACCTCTGCGATAAAATACGACAAACTCGGTCAGTCGTATGATCGTTTAGGATACGTTTATACGTACGTATGTATTTTATTTTTGAACTTAAGTGAATACATTTCACGCGTTAATATATTTTACGACTATGGCATCCACATCCTATAGAAGAAAGTGTTTAAAGTTGAGTGAGAAAGTGAAAATCATAGACGAAGTTGCACTAGGTGCGGGAGTGACACAGTTAGCAAAAAAAATATGGAGTACCTATCGAAAGCAACAATCTGTAAAATTAAGCGTATGAAAACTCAAATTTTACAAAGAACGTGCAATACATTTGGAGGTCCGGGTAAAAGAAAAACTTAAAAAAATGCGAAGGCACCTAAAAATGGAAAATTCCCTGTATAAGTGGTTTTTAAAACAACGGGAAAATCATGTCCCAGTTAGTGGCGAAGTACTTAAACAGAGAGCGAGACTGTTAAATGAAAAACTGAAAGAAACTGAAAATTTCGTAGCTAGTGATGGCTGGCTACAACGATTCAAAACAAGATATGGAATTCGACTACTGTCTATATCTGGTGAAAAATTATCAGCACAACCACAATTAGTGCAACCATTCAAAGAAAAATTGATGAAAACAATTACCGAGCTAGATTTAAGAATGGAACAAATTTACAACGCAGATGAAAGTGGCCTTTATTGGAAAATGTTACCAGAGAAAACCTATGCTGCATCATTTGAAAAATCTGCCCCGGGAAGAAAGCCGGAGAAACAACGAGTAACGTTTCTAGCCTGCACTAATGCTAATGGTTCACACAAAATAAAGCCACTGGTAATTGGGAAAGCAAAAAATCCGCGCTCATTTAAAAATGTTAATATCCCTGTTGATTATGACTGTTCAAAAACCGCTTGGATGACTAGCAGTATATTCCTGAAATGGTTCCACAGGTGCTTTGTCCCTCAGGTATGACAATCAATTATCACAAATGCTCTATTCATAATTTGAAGATGTGTTTTCAATTTGTAGGTAAAAGGTTTCCTAAAACAACAGAAGCTTCCAATAAAAGCGTTGTTACTATTGGAGAATGCACCAAGTCATCCTCCCGAGCAACAACTGTGGAGCAGGGATGGGTCAATTTTCGTCATGTACATGCCGCCCAACGTAACACCGTTAATTCAACCGATGGACCAGAATATAATAAGACTCACCAAACTATACTATAGGAAGTTTCTACTTTCGTCTGTCTTATCAAAGAATCCTGAAAACTTATCTCAGGCTTTAAAAAAAGTAACATTACGAGAAGCTGTTTTAGATTTACATATGGCCTGGAATGAACTTAACCAGCAAACTATTCAAAAATGTTGGAACAATCTCTTTTGTACCAATAATGAAGATGATGAAGAAGACGATGTCCCCTTAAGCGTAATTAGAGAACGTTTGCGATCCAATAATGATAATGTTATTAGTGTGTCATTGGATGTTGTTGATTTATTGAAAACAGTGAATCAAAACATTGTTTGTACTCCTGCTGATATTAACTTATGGAACGAAGATAAGCAGACGAATGATGCTGATAAGGAGGAGGATATGGACAGTGAGCATGATGAGAATGATCCCATTGAAGTCAGAAGTGTAGTGACTGACGCGCAAGCTATACAAGTGTTTAACCAAGCTTTAGATTGGGCTGAAAGAAAAGAAGTTTCATACACGGATATTTTAGTTCTTCGTAAATTACGGGCGCAGGCATTGGAAGACAATGCTAAGCGCAAATTTACGCAGACAAAAATTGTTAATTATTCTTCTTCTAATTAAAAAAATACTTATCGCTGTTAGAATATTTGTTTCTTTTGTTATAAATAGTATGTATTAAACGTTTCTTTTAATAAATCAAATATTATATAAATCACGTTCGCTAATGTAAACATTTCAATAATGTGAACCACACTTGGATTAAATTAGTTTACATCATCGAGCGCCTGCTGTATGTCACTTAGTATAGAATCTCAGTAATTCCCTTACAATTAATGAAAACGGGGTCTATTTCTTCTTTTTTTTAAACACGACATCAACCTTCCAAGGAAAGATCACTTCTCACCCCTCCAAAGACTTCATGACCTCAAAATTCTTCAACCTCAAAACCTGCGTCCAATAGTCCGAGGGGTGGCAACGCCCGCACCTAAAGACGGTGGCCGACAGGTATATAACTGATGGCGGCGGCGTAGAGTACCTATGTTTTTCAATTAGAGTGGGTATCTTCTTGTAGATTATCTTAATCAATGGTTAGATACAAGGAATATTCAAGCGATCCCAGTTAAGGCATTATTTTCTAGAGTTTAGCAATATCGGATGTAATATATAACGAGTCGAACTGGATCACGTACAGCAAAGCCAATAAGATGCTCCTGGTAATGGTATTGCAAAGATCGCACAGGAATTTCGCACTAAAGGCGGCTGCTATTGGAGAAATGTCAATTTCAACGTTTACAAAGGTGAGTTGTTTTTCAGACGGCGTGAAGTCTGCGAAGTGTCAGACAATCGTTATTTTATAAACGCTAATATTTTTAATTTAGGTACCGACATATGGATGCAAGGGTTTGTTCAAAAATTTGAGACATGATATTTAGTTGAACATTTCATGAGCTTCTCAATCCCTCATAGGTCATTCTTAACAGCGATCAGCGAGCTTTGCCGAAAGGAACCTGTTGAGGATCGCATTGCACCTCTGTCGTTTGTATAAGTCATCGCGTGTTTCTTATTTATTTCATTGTTTATGGTTGACCACAAGTTGAGCATAAATGGCCATTGAACATACTTCACCATTCGTGATTGTACTGTGAAAGTGTTACAATAACGTCGATTAAATTGAATATGATGGCTCTGTAGCCTCCATTTCATGAACTGCTCAGGATCAATGAAAAAACAATTCTTGGTGCCAGCTACGCAGCTTTTTGCTGCTTGGGTACCGATACAATGATCAATGGACGCTTTTTGGAACTGTCACTAAGATGCAATTTTGCCTAATCCAAGATTGTACGTCTTTCGGCACCTTTACTTGCAAGTGTCTGAATTCTGTACACTGGACTGCTATTTATGGGCAATGGTAGTAATAGGCAAGGCTACCAGTGATGGGCGCATTGTATACACCATGTATATACAGGATGGCGCATCGAAAACGAAACAGACGCATTTACTGGCAGCTAAGTTTTTGTTTGGAAAAACGCTCACACCCGTCGATTTTGTTTTCGAGGGGGACTCAAGTTTGGCAAAAAATCACGTTAACACGTGCAGCTCCCTGGGCGGGGGTGACACCAACCCTAAAATCTTAAATGGAAAGGGGGGTCGAGTGATACCTTATTTTAAAGGTCTTTCAATTCCCTTTATAATGATATAAAATTAATGTACGTCAGTTCAGTAGTTTTGAAGATTTATTGATTTAAAGCTTAAAGTAGACATCAGATTAGTTTGTACTACTTTCAGAAGAAATTTACTTAATAAGTAAATGCTTTTCTTCACTACGCCCATGGTTTGTTTATAATTTTTTTGTTGAAAATAGCTATTGGAGCGTTTTTTCTGCCAAAACAGTTATTTCTTGAAGAAAGATAAGGAAATATCTCGTACTTATTTTAAATAGGAATTTAGTACATAGTTAGCGATTGATTTGACCAAACTTTGTTGCTAAAATAACTTGTAACGCTTTATTACATAAATGAACCGTGGTATATTCCACAGCAGAAAGAGTTTAAATTATCGAAATATTTTTCGGAAATAATCAGTGCGCTAATAGAACAGCAGAAATATTTAATGAGCGACATGAGAACATTAACGTGCATCGAAAATATGATCTAGAACTTGTAGCTAAATTTCAGGAAACTGGGTCAGTCGCCAATAAAGAATGCAACATTGAAAATCCCATAAGGAACGAAGCAATAGAAGTGGGGGTTTTAGGGCAAGTTTATGTAGATCCTACGTTAAGTACCCGCAAATTGGAGACTGTGTGTGGTGTTAATCGACGTACTGTCCAACGGATTCTAAAGGCCCAGAGTTTTCATCCGTATAAAATTCACCTGGTACAAGAACTTAATGAAGACGATTTTGATCGGCGATTACAATTTTGTGCAGATATGAGTGAACGAATTATAAACGATGAACATTTTCTATTCAACACTTTGCTTTTCCGACGAATGTTCCTTCTTCTTAAATGGCGTAGTAAATCGTCATAACTACCGATATTGGTCCGATTCTACTCCCAGAATTTATCATGAGGTTCATACACACCAGCCACAAGAATTAAATGTTTGGCCTGGTACTTTTGGCGATCGTTTAGTTGGTCCTTTTTTCTTACCTGGAAATTTGACCGGTGAAATGTATTTGGAATTACTGGAAGATGCCATAGATCCTGCATTAACAGCCATAATTGAAAATCAGATGATCGGCGGTACATTGCGAATAGGTTGATGTTCCAACAGGATGATGCCCCACCACATTACCCATTACGTGTTCGGCAATATTTAGATCAGACGTTTCCAGATCGATGTATTGGTAGAAGAGGTGTCATTGAATGGCCCCCAAGATCGCCAGATTTATCACCTTTGGATTTCTTTATGTGGGGTCATTTAAAAAGCAAAATCTATGCTACTCAGCCAACATCATTAGAAGACCTGCGACAAAGAATTGTAAATGAGTGCCTTTAAAATAACTCCTCAAATATTGCAAAATGTGCGGCAACTTTTTGAGCAAAATCTTTATTATTGCATGGAGAGTCATGGTGGCCATTTTCAACATTTACTTGCCTAACGGGTCAGTTCATTCTTCATTTTTAAATTACTTTACTGCCAAATTTATTGATCTCCACTAATGATGATGTATTAGTTTTATTTAAGCTTGAAATCAATAAATCTTCAAAAGTACTGAGCTGAAGTACATTAATTATAAAGGGAATTGAAAGACCTTTAAAATAAGGTATCACTCGACCCCCCTTTCCATTTAAGATTTTGGGGATGGTGCCACCCCCGTTTAGGGGGCTGCACGTGCTAACGTGATTTTTTTCCAAACTTGTGTCCCCCTCGAAAACAAAATCGACGGATCTGAGCGTTTTTCAAAAAAAAAAAAACAACTGAGCTGCCAGTAAATGCGTCTGTTTCGTTTTCAATGCGCCACCCTGTATATATATATAAGCGTATACAATAGTGAATATATACGTCTCGATATTCACGTATACAATGTATAAAATGTATATGTGTATACAATAGCAAATCATAGTTCAACTGCTTGCATACAGGGTTATCCAAATTAAGTGTCCACCATTAGTAACTTTGTTATTAGTGAAAATACAAAGTTGTTTGAATTAGCAAACTAGTAGCATTTTTAACGCTGGTAAAAATGAGAAATAAAAAAAAACAATTGAGAGTCGTTATTTTGATTTTTTCAGTAAAATAACATTTTTTTAAATGTATATTATATTTTTTTCTGTTAGAGCATCAAATTTTAAACAAAAAAGCTTACAATAACTTTTCTCCTAGGTTACAAATTGTTGAAGTTATGGCCTCCAATCTGAAACAATTAAATTGTATCGACAAACTTTATTTTCAACATCAACTTATAATCTTACAAAATACAATAACAATTTTTTTTAAAGAAGATGCTCGAAAACACCACCTTGTTCTTCAATACATTTTTGGGCACGTTTTTCAACTGCTCGAACTGTCTTAAGTATGGTCCTACCATCTATCTGGGTTATCTTTTTCCTAACTGCAGTCTTTAACGCGTCAAGGTTATCGTACCTTCGCTTGTAAATTTGGTTCTTTAAGTAACCCCACAAGAAGTAATCAAGTGGGTTTAGATCTGGTGATCTGGGAGGCCACTGTATTGGGCCATTTGTTCCTATCCACTGATCATTAAAAGTAGTACTTAGAAAATGATAAGTATCTCTGGAGTTGTGGGCAGGTGCGCCATCTTGCTGAAAATGCAGATGATGTCTATTTATAAGATCCAATTCGTCTAAGAAATTAGTCAGAATTTCTGATATAAATTCCACATATCTTTCACCAGTTAGGGTTCCCTCATAAAAGAACGGGCCAACAATTTTTGAGCCAATTATACCGCACCAAACGTTGAAACTGAAACGGACTTGTGGGCCTCTTGGATGTACTAACAAAAGATTTTCTCTTGACCAATAATGGTGGTTTTTTCTATTAAACATTCCAGAATTTGAAAAATTTGATTCATCTGTCCATAAAAGGTAACGAAAGTTATTTACATTTTGGCGACAGAAGCTAAGATACCAATGGCAAAAAACAAGTCTTCTCTCTGGATCCCCTGCCAAAAGCGTTTGAACTGGTCGGTACTTATACGGAATAAATTTGTATTTTTTTAAAATCCTTTGAACAGTACCATAACTGAAATTAGAGTCCTTGAAAATATCTGCTATTGAATTCTCACGATAAGCTTCAAAATATCCAATAACTGCAATTTCCGTGGCCTCGCTTATTATGAATTCTTTTTTTGCCCTTGTTTTAGCAAAAACATTTTCGTTGCCCCTAAATTTTCGATAAAGTCTCAGAAAATATCGTTCATACGGTTGAATGCGAGCGGGATATAATTCACTGTAGTATTCTCTTGCTCTCAAGGAGAATTTTCTGCACACTAAATAGCATTCTAACATATCACACTTTTCTTCATGGGAGAACATTTTTCTTTAAATTAATGACACAATAAAGCTTATAAACAAGTATTTACACTAATGTTTGACATTATTTGATTTTATCATTGTTTTCCAAAGCCTTCTAGTTGCGAGTATGTCCAGTTTAACAATTTGTCGCTTATCTTAATGCTGTCAAATCGCGAACGCCATGTTGTTTTCATAGCCGTCTTAATATTATAATACTGCAAATAATTCAAAATATTTATCGTTATTTTGACTTTATTTTTGACTTTAGCGGAAAAGTCATTATGAACTTTTTTGTTTAAAATTTGATGCTTTAACAGAAAAAAATATAATATACAGGGGTTTCCATTTAAAAAAATGTTATTTTACTGAAAAAATCAAAATAACGACTCTCAATTGTTTTTTTTTATTTCTCATTTTTACCAGCGTTAAAAATGCTACTAGTTTGCTAATTCAAACAACTTTGTATTTTCACTAATAACAAAGTTACTAATGGTGGACACTTAATTTGGATAACCCTGTATAGTGCTAGTGAAAGTCGCTTTCGCTTTTAGATTTCCATGTGTAGAGAGAGGGGGACAAGCGGGCAGCACTTATGTTGAAAGAGTGCGCCACACACCACGTTGCCTGGCACAACAGTGACGAAGGCCACACAACATAACTGTAACCTGCTGCAACGCCTTGTTTTCTACGTCCAAATACACCTTTCTGTCGAATCTGTTTGGGTTCAATTCCAGATCGATCCTAATGGTTCTCCGCTTTTAGGTGGAACTGAAAGTTCAGGATAGATACAAATTCTGCAACATTGCATTATTGGTTTGACTG